TAAAATCGTCTTGGAACTTTAAGAAACTTGAGATGATTTATCCCTTCCAGTTAAGACCTTGCGGTAAACTAATTCATTTCCCGGAGAACATAATTACAAAATGTTTGAATAGCCAGATCCATAAGCTTTAATTTGGACGGGGCGTATGCACGTGACGTCATGACAGCCATATTAGTGTTTCAAGACATGTACCAAACCAATCCCGTGGGAGTTCAACTCTTTTCTTATGTAAACACCTTCTTTTGTTCCAATAAGTTTGCATGGCTTCTGGATACGTGAATGCAAACGCTCTATATCCGTGATCTAAGCGCGAAGCGCTACTTCTATAGGACTGGAGACACCCCTAAAGGTACATGGTAACCTTAAAATTAATCTCCAATTTTATTGTATCTTCCCCGTCGCATGGTGGTGTTTTTGTCATGTATGAGTCACGACTCGACAGTAACAATCTATAAACGCCAAACCTCAAATAAAAGAGGTCGGTACACCAAAAAGAGGCCAGCAGCGAGTCAGAGGGTACTCCCAGAAAAACTTGGGCAGGGTGTGGGGCCTCCTTTCCAAAACCCTTACCTATTAAAGACCAAAATCTGCGGTTTTCCCTACCCTATTTATGACCTGACGAAAAATTCGATACCCTATTAAGACCTGACCCTTAAATTAATACCCTGTTTCAGGCCTGCCTTATAATTAGTTGTTCCCTAGTTCAGATCGATGTTGAAGGCATTGTGATGGACTTCTGCTGATGGTCTTATCGATAATGATGAAAGAGTAGTTTAATGTTATCAAAATACAATGTTTAATCCACCACGCCTTTCGTTACATTTAGCAGGCAGAATAAAACGGGTCTTTGCTTATCGTGGTAAGAGCTTTCCCATTCCGCTAAGAAAGAAAGGGACTGAAAACAGTTTGTGACCAAAATACACCTTCTCCAAATGTTAACACCGACAAAGTGAAGTATGCGAGCGTTAAGAACAACAGAGATGCTTACAACTCGAATTCTCTTAACGTCTTCAACAACTTTTCTGATGGCCAAAAAGGTAATTTTCAAATAGACTAGATCGGGGCTAGGTAAACTCTGTAGAAACCGATACTACAAAGAATATCTGTACGGCAGGTAGATAAAGGTTTGCATGCAAAGACTCAGCTGTGGTGACTGCGAGCTGGTCATGCGCTTAGCCTCTTAAATAGCAAACAAGAACAACAGGGCTTCGGCCTTCCCTCCCGGAAGTTCACAATTCAATAAGAAAATTTTTGTAATCTAACGCTCAGGAAACACTACTCGACCGTTTGAGATAAAAGAGACATCCCAAATGGATATGTCTAGACAATACTTCAGAATACGTCCCTGCGAGCCTCGGCAAGTAACTCGTTGCCGGGCTCACCAACACGGGGACGTATTCTGCTTCTACCAAAATCGGAGAAAAATCTTAGTTTAAGGTAAATTCATTTTGGCGGTAAGCGCAAGACCTGAACCAAGCTTCACGCGCACGACGGTAGCGCCACTCAAACTACACAGCATAACTATGCAAGTCCCGTCCCGATCCCTCCCCTCCTCATTTGACTCCTTTGGAAAAATCTTGGCTAAGTTTCCAAGGTCTTGTAAGGGGTCATTCGACATCTTCGCAGCGAGAGGGAGCTGTCATCGTTCTTGGCTGTTTTTTTTGTTTTGTTTTGTTTGTTTGTTTGTTTTTTTTCTTTTTTCTTTCTACCCTGCGAGGAGAAGCCAACTGCTTGGGGGGTAGGATTTCTTGTGACCCAACGGGGAAAAAACTCCAAGCATTTCCGCCATTGCACTCAGCAGTCGCCACGCTGGGATAAACCTGACCTTGTGCAATCAATTTTACAATGTACGCGAAATGAAAAATAGCAGAAGTTGTTTCTGTTTCTGTTTCTGACATACTGTAAATCAATTAAAATGGCCGCGTCAACGTGCTGAAACTGTTTTCGTTATCTGGTGGAATTTTGAGAATGATAACCCAATGCTCAACATTGCATTCTTTTTCTTTTGCCGGGTTACGTCACGAGTCACGCTCGTTACACGTGTGGTCACGTGTGGGAGCAATTTCTATAGTCCAAAGGCGAGGTTCTGGGTCAACCGCTTGTTCACCAGAGTACTTCAGCTTTACAAAGCTGACCAAAGAATGATAAAGTCTTACTCTGATTGACTTTAGAAACCAACAGTAGCCTAACCAACAGAATTTACTAGCAGTTCGTTGTGATATAGACACTGGCTTTATAGTTTGGTTTTCAGGATCAATCCGGCTTTTTTTCGACTAAATAAAAGCATTTTACAGACATTATGAGGCGAAAACAAAAAATCTAGTCTTTACCTCGTGGAAAACATATGGCACAACGAAAACTGATCAAAACAATGGAAAAAATGCTTAATGACCTTAACAAAAAAAATTGACAAAATGGACTACATATTTTTCAAAACAAATCGTGCTATGAGGTGAAATAGACAGAACTCGTTGAGAAACATTTTTTGGGGGTGCAAATCGATTGAGCGTTATATTTTCAATCTGGAATCCCCTATAAATTTTAGGCGTGCCTCAAAACCTGTATTCGGAATGAAGATGAAAATTTGTCTTCTATAAAGCTTCACTGAGGTTTTCATAAATGATGGCCTTAAAAGTTTTATGCCTTTCTCCTAGGGAATTTTATCCCTTGCTGTCAATGAAAATGGCACCAGTGAAACGTTCAACCCGCCCAGAGAAAGTCTCCATGAATACTAAAATGATACAAAAGCTTTTCTTTTGCTTGGAAATAACCTACACTTTAAAACAAAGCAAAATTATGGACGGACGATAATTAATTTTTGGCTTACCCGCGCTATTAATGTTATTTATTTTACTACGCCGAGAAAAACTTGTTAAAAATCTGAAATTTGCCCAAGACAGCTAAATTTGCCCAAGAAAGCTATTCTGACAAAATTCTCGGTTGTTTGGAATTGTCAACCTTTGTTTGTTTTTATGTTGTTGGCCTTTAAGGTTCTTTTGTGGGTTGCTTTCGTCTTTGTTAGCCATCAATTTATTGATGTTTTACCTTGCTAGCGAAATCAGCTGCTCAGTCAATTTTTCATTCTTATGATATAATCGGGTGAAAAGTGTTTTAGAGGAGACACACGCTTGTTTACTAATAACTGGCCAGCCCTTTCAAAGTGTCAACCTGTGGTTTTTAAATAATATTTGGCTCATTGTCTCGGCGTGTTTTATCAAACAAAGAAACTGTTGTACAGTTAAATTGAACGCTCGTGTAATATCGTTGTTTATTAAAAGTACACTCAAAAGAAATTGTTATTAACGTTGATATATCTCCGTTGCTTGGCAGTACTTGTCATTCGACAAACTTTTTTGGCACGTGGGGGAGAGGATAAGGCATAGGTAATTGACGTAGCAGGTGTTTTTGTTCGCGCGAAATGGTTTCTCGACGAACTATAAACTTGGTTGTCTGGTGGAAAGGTCTTTGTTTGAGCTCTTTCTTAGGCTAGAAAAATAAAATCCAAGGATTCATCTCCCCGAAAAAGGGGGAATGCAAACAAAACAAACATTAACTGAAACGCGACAAAAAGACTGTCAGTTAATATCTCAGTCCCCGTGTATAGAGAGGAAGCGAGACTCCGAACAAGGCACTTTTGTTGACAACGTTCTATTGTTGGCCGGTCATTATGAATTTATATTCACGTGTAAAATGACACACAAGGCACGATAAGTGTCAATACTGGCTTGAAATTTGCAGTGTAAACATGCTAAATGAGCCACGGTGGAACTAAATAGTCAGACATTTCGTATCGACAAAAAAATGTCGCCGCAATGAGTGTGAAAAAAAAAAAAAATCATATTTGTTCCATTAAGCGCTGAGCCTAAAGCTAGATTAAGCAAATTTTTCGAGAGAAGTTTAGAATCCTTGTTGTAGAAAAAGCTTCCATCGGGTAGTACTTTTATTTTTAGGTTTATTTGCCGGCTGTGACTGGAAGTTCTCCTGAATTTTGAAAGCGCTCATTCAATTATTACACGTCGGAAGTACATTCGCTCAAAAACTGATGTCTGGACTAAAAATATAATAAATTTTAACCGCTTGCTAACAGCTTGCGGCTGACCGTAAGGATAAGCAAAAACTATCAGCTTGAAAATCATGGAAGAAAAATTAATATTAAAAGTTTTGGAATGAGAACGATAAGAATTAATTCGTGTTTCTCTCCGAAGCAAGTAAGAAAGATTCTGGCGAAACTTTAAATGATAATACGCGGCAAAATATACCACCTGCCGCAAAGATATGAAAAGGCACAGAATCTAGAAAGAACATTTAGAAGATCATATTCGCCCTCACGGTGACGAGGCTCCCTGCGGACATTTTTGCTAATCAAACTGTGCTTTAGCTGTGGTTGGCTATTACGGCACAATATTTCATTCACTCAGCCAACAAGCTGATGTAGAATGCTAAGCTGCTGTCAAGGCTAAATTTCATAAACTCTCTTTATTCTACCCCGCTGCTTGGTATACAATTCTTTCGCCTTAAATGGTTTTGGAAAGTACACAACGAAGTCTGAGCGAGTTAATTGGTCAATGTGCGTTGGGTTCATCCGAAAATGCTTTATTGGGAAAACGCAAGCTTTCCACAGAACTCTTGACAAAAGAGTGTTTTAAGCACTCTTTACTACTCAATAAAATGCAAAGCGTTTTTCCCTTTTGCCACTTTTGTGTAGATAACAATAAGTTAACAATGGAAAACGTTCAAGCATATTGTGTTTTCACTGGGGGGCGAGGCGAATTATGGACGCCGAGCTAGTTGGCCTGGGGTTTTGAAGGAAATCGTCCAAATGTTCAAGATTGTGCATTACATCAACTGGAAAAAGTTTCACTATTTGGAGAGTTCAGAGATCGAAATCACATCTTTGTACTTCTTCTCACATATGCAAATGTTTCCTTGTGACGTTTTACGCAAGGAGTTTGGCAACTGACCAATCAGATTGAAGCTTATTGTGTTAGTTCTGCACGATTTATACTTGTCATGTTCGTGGTTCGAGGGCGATAGGTAAAATATGGCGGACATTTCTAAACTTAGTTACGTCGAATAAGCGCTGTTTGGTGACATAATCAAACACGTTTTGGATCAATATTTCTTTGAACAATCTGAACGCGTTCAGGCAACCAGAAAGCGCTTATAAAGACCGGCAGAACACGCATCGAACGTGACGAAAAGAACATAGTCGAAGACGATTTCGAATGGCGGCGCGGTGATTTGTAATTGTCCTTTCCAGACGCGAACATGAGTACAGCAAAAAGAAAGAGGCGCACAAATAGGTAAGTTTGTTTACAATTTTTACTTTTCTTGCCGTGTTTGAGGGAGATACGGCAATAGGAAATGGAATTTGTGATCCGTGCGGGACAAATCGACAATAGTGTTATGTTCGGCTGCACGTCGAGAGCCAGTGTTTCTTTTCAATTCTTGATCGCCTGAAAAAACAGTTAACTCGAATTCTTGCCGATTGCCATACAAAACAGAAAGATGCTATTATCAGTAAGGTTGTTCTGTTATTTAATCTGTTCGCTCCCGAGTGGACTTAGAGCGTATTCTGTTCGTCCCAGTATCGACTACAACTCTACCGTAAATGTATACCCGAGCTTTTTCCGGTGTACACAATTCCGAATTCTAGCTTTTCAAAACTCGTAGCTTGTTCGCTCCCCGCGAAGCGCAAAACCCTAGCTCTTCTCAGCAATGATATAAACAAACCCACCAGCCGGCAAACCGCGTTAAATTCGCCGTTACGAGCTAGAAAGGGTGGCAGACAAAATTTGCATTACTTGACAGAGTCTTACAGACCGCGCTGCGCCGGCGAAACCCGTGAAATGGACAACATTTTATTTCGTTCCTGGTGATTCACTTGAGCGTACTTTGCTTCAAAACCTGAATTGCTGGCAATCTTGATCGTTTTACCTTTGAATAGTATTCTATCTTGGTGTTTTTGCCTCGTTAGTTTAAGCTTATATTCGATGCAACACTGCAGATAAAGTGCTGTATATCTAATTGTGACCTTTGACAGGAACAACATAGCTTCACCCGTTTAAAACTTTGAAGCGAACGTGGAAGTAAAAAAGTACGGTTGACTGTTTTATTGAAAGTAAATAACGACAATGTAATTTTCGTGCAAGATTTGTCTGCGGCCGATCAAAGAAAAACCATGCAAGCATTCTTCTTTGGCTAAAAAACCATGGGATGGGCTGATGGCTAGCTAGAAATTTTACGAGACGAATGCTACGCGCGTTTTTCTGTACACTGCTTTATTTTGTTCATAAATCGTTTATTGTAAGATCGTGGTAGTGATTTATCCAGACCTGCGAGGCCCACTGGGGTGAAGTAACGCTTTTGTTATGCGGAGTCAGTCCCGCCATGTTTGTCTTTTACGAGTTTTGGGCTGATCGTCCAATTTTTACACCCGATGCACGGAATCCTTTTCTCGCGTTCTATAAGTCACAGGAACATGTTTCTTACATATTTAGAAGCTTTAAACCTTTGAGAAACACTTTGTGACATTTGCGTGTGTGTTTTTGCCATATTTTGCATGCATCGAGTTCCTTCAACTTTCGTCTCCATGGTCATACTAATTTGCGACGGCGAGAAACAATTCTGGAGACGATCTATATTATTCCAAGCGTTTTGTTGCGGTTTTCAACAACCAGTGCTTGAATGTTGAGAACTACTCGAATTTTGTAACCGAAAAGAGCGATTTTAGAGTAAAATTTTCACAGATAGGGTGTCCATAACGAAAAAAAAGCGCGTAGACGCACAACTCATTGGACATTTTTCGAATGTTTGAGGCAATTTACATATTCAGGTGGCTGTCAAAATAATTCGTTTCTTTTTGTTCCGTGGATAATACACATGGCCCTTTATCTTTGGCGTGCTTCGGCTAATTCTTATGCAAATCGAGAATGGAAAGTTTTGGCGTTCGATGTTCATTAAAAAGGGAGAAAGGGATTCCGTGAGTCAAGTGTGAAATCGACATTGCCGTTCTCCACTGCAGTCACGGAGAAGTTTCCACATGGACTCGAGTCCTTGTTGACTTATGAATAATCGCTGTTTCAGCAACCTTAGGGGGACCGCTTGCTTAAAATTCTCTTTTACCTTGGTACTTTAAGGAAAAATAAACATCTTTTGTTATTTACTTCTCAAACTTTTCGACGTGTTTACGATTTTTCGTGTCTGAGAGAAATGGCTGCGGTTTGTTGGGTCGCCCTCTGAATAAGTGAGAGGTCGTAAAGCACACCACACCAGAAATAGTAGACGTATCTTTAGTTTTGAGTGTATTTTATGACGGAATGGAAACCGTTAGACAGATTGACAAACATCAAGGACCATTAATTAACAAGGAGGAAACACAAAATTTACATACACAGGGTTTTCGACTATTTCTGTTCAGTTTATTCTGATGTTTATCTCGTCGAGTCGCTTTTCAAATGGCATGACTAATAATTTAGCATTCAACAAGGGCCATGAATTACTGTACTCCTCGGATGAATCTTGAAATCACTTAATTTTTGACATGTTGGCAGAGTAAGAGAAAGTGTGTTGACAGATTTGGGCAGAAAGAATTTGAATAATGTAGTGAAGTCTTCAATCTGGCAGCCAAAAACTAATTGCTTTTTCGAGTGCTTTTGCCACTGTCTCCGATTTTGTTACTGTAGTTGTTCAAGCTTGCTTCCTTACTGTTTCATTAAAGGTTGTGTTCAGCTTCATTGTGGCACATGGGTACTACACAAACAAAAGGAAAACTTAACAACTGTATTTGTATGTCAAGTTTAAGCAGCTTAACCTCAGACCATTGCTTATCCCCTAAATATATACCTTCACAGTTGTCTGGACATTTATTTGTTAAGAACATTTGCTTCAGAATTCTTTTCATCCTCTCTAGAGAAGTGTCTGCGAAAAAAAAACTATTCATGAACGTTCATTAGCAAGCCCCATACCCCATGCACCTTAAAAATTACCTCAAGTAGTTGTTTTGTAGTAAAATTTCAAACCACAATCAATTAGCTCTCTGTTAGCCTTAACATCCTTGCCCTTTGAAATATTTCCAAGTGTAAAACTTTGTTGGTACAAACATTTTACAGACAAATTGTAACTTTCTCCTTTCCTTTGTTTGGTACTCCTGGTTTCATTTTGTAAGATAAGATGTTTCTCTCAGATAATGTAACCTCCCTGTGGGTAGTAATCAAAGGAATAATAAAATCATTTCTCTATATAAAGGTCTGAGCAAAAATCCAAAAATTTATGTCTCAGATTTTTTGGCTTGCATTTTTTTATTCTAATTTTTTTTCCCAGCATGTTGACGTCTGAATCGTAAATACTGCTGTCTTGCATTGTAAATTCCACACTTGAGAACAAACAATCAATCTTTTTTTTTTTTTTCCACAAACTGTTTGAAACAGCATCTCACTAAAGTTGATAGTCTCAACGTTCTATTGTCTCCTAGACAGTTTATGCCTTAGGCTGAAAATGAAATGGATTGGATGTCAGTAGTAATTGATTTTTTAGCAGTGATGTTGCCAGTTACATTTTAAGTTCTGTATTATACCATCATTCAGCACAACAGGAAATTGAGAACTTGAATGAAATCTAGGAAACACTATCTCCAGGTGTGCATTTCTTAAATTTCTTGAGTGTTCTGAAATAACAGAATTGTTTTGTCTTGGTAGTATAATAATTGCTTTGGCTTCTTCATATGTTTTAAGGGATAGATCTAATGAAGGGAAAAAAAAAACAATTAAACAGATTTTTTCAAAACAGTGCTTGTAAGCAAATCAACGTGTTTGCAGAATCCAAATTGTACACGCGTGATATCAATATTATTAAGTTATTGTGAGTATAAGTTAAGTTAATTGTTGGTTTCGTTTTATTTTCAGTCTCAAGGGATCCTTGAATCCTTCAAAGCGGCATCGTGATCGCTTCAATATTGAATTAGACAACCTTGCAAAATTGCTACCATTTCCACATGATGTGATCCAGAAATTGGACAAGCTTTCAATTTTGCGATTGTCAGCAAGCTACCTCAGAGCCAAGAATTTCTTCAAAGGTAGGTTTAGCTCAAATTCAAGGGAATTTTACATTTTCTAAGAATAATTGATGATGTTTTCTCTTCTGCCCAAATGTGCCTATTGGTAAGTTGTTGAATTAACTTGGAAAAAAACACTGCATGACTACCTGCTAAGGATCTGTGTTCCTTCCAGGAGGGGAAGCAATGTTTCCAGTTACTTCATTGTTTGGTTACTGGACTTAAGCTCAGCTAGCTAAATCACTAGACTTCTACAACCATCTACATAAACCTGTAGGGTGCAAAAAAAACAACAACTTTCAAGCTTGTCCTCTGGGCAAGCTGTAACTATGAGTTACTACTGTACCCTTTGCATCAGGTAAAAGGTAGAGTTTGTTTTGAGCCAAGCTCTCTATCCTAAAGGAGTACATCCCAGTTTCCAAAGCATTAAGCAACTAGGAGTATTCGTATTTCGCCTGGATGGGATGCTAGTCCATCGTAGGGTTACCCCCCAGCATTAAATTTATATGCCTGTGGAGAGAGGCATTGTGAGAATTAAGTGTCTTGCCCACAAACAAAGAACACATTGCAATGATTCTGGCCAGCGATGTCTCAAAACCTGGCTACTTGTTCCTGTGTCTGGCATGCTTGACTGTAAAATCCACTAACTAATCCTGGTCATAACTTCCTACGTTTATTGAATCCAAAATGCTTAACCTGAGTAGCAATTTTATCTAAGTCATAACTGCATCAAAGCAACTGTGTAATGTAGTTAAATATTTCTTGCACTGAAAATCAACCCTACCCAGTGTACAGTATACACTGTATGTGCCAAAAGGACTTGTAAACTTGGCAAAGAATGATCAAATTTCCAAATTTCTGACATCATACCTGGTAAAATTACAATTGCTTTGTGTACAAGCTTGTTGAAGGTCTGTTTCAGTTACATGGGGATCATCTATAGCATAATTACTGTGTTTCCCTAGTTAAGTTGTTAGCATTTTCCCACCAAGGAAGCCAACAGATAGTTGAAACCAAATAACTACTGTAGTATCCAGTAGTTGTTTTAATATTGTATCTTAATTTTGTGCTTAAAGAAATTGTGAGGTTATTAAAAAAATAAATTAAGAAAAAATCCTTTTATGAAATAGTTTCTTACAATTTTTAAGTATGGTATCCAATTTTGTTTTCATGTGCAATGGTCTTCTTGTTGAGCACCTTTGAACGGAAAAAATAGCTTATTATCAAGGGTTTTTTGTGTGATATTGGAAGCTTCCTTTAAACCTCACGATTGTTCAGTAAACATGGTTAGAAACAAAAGTAAATACATGATGTCTTTTTCAGGTCAACAGTGGACGGAGGACAGTCAAGTGGGAAGACTTGCTGATGGGAATGGAGACTTTGAAGGAAATGGCATTTTTTCAAAACTTCTCTTAGATGTAAGTCCTTTTTGTGTGGATTAAGTGCGACTGTCTTTGTAGATATTTTGGTTGGTCGCTTGAGTGCACATACATGTAGTTCATGATCCACTCTTGTTTATTGTGCTAAGTGAGTCATACCCTGATGTGGTTGCAAACCTCAATTTTAGATTGAGATTTATTATATTCCTTAATTTAGTGTGTAGGCAGGTACAATATTGTTCAAATTTTTGTTTTTATGTGGGAGTTTCATTGTCGTCAGGTATTTAACTTGATCATTCAAAACTCTTCAATATTGCTTGATTACTGAAAAGATTGGTTGTGTTGGCTTGTTTTGTGGCTAGTTTAAGACAAACAGCGGTAAAAGGATTGATCATGTTGTGGCTAATAAAGTTCTCAGCATGCATGTGCTGGGGTAATCTTGTAAGAAAATAGTGTGTTCAAAGAGGATGCCTGAAATGATATAATATTGCTTGAAAGTACATGGGATAACTACAGTTAGACCCCATTAATTTGAACTTGGCTATTTCAAATTCCCCATTAGTTCAAACTCAAAACCATTTCCCTTTGATTTACCCTTCAGTTGTTTACTATCACCTATTTCAAACTGCTGCTATTTTGAACAATTTTTCATTTCCCGTAACAGTTCAAAATAGCGGGTTCTGTATGTAGTGAATGTATGATATGTGTGAGGCTAAAAGTTGGAAATAAATTCTGGTGGATGCTTGTATAAGGACACTGAAGAAGATCCATGGCAAGCTATTTTAGAGATGTTGAATCTATTCTGTTCTTTGATTTTATCCAAGAATTTGGGTACATGTATGCATTTTAAAACTAAAGAAAAAATCCACAAATTGATATATTTTTTTATCATCATCACCTTGTGGTTTCCTTGACAAAGATGTTCGTATTACAGTAATAGATGAAATTGATTGCTGTTGTATCTCTCAGGCCTTGGATGGCTTTGTTATCGTCCTGACCAGAGATTTTGAAGTATTCTATGCATCTGAAACCGTTCAGGAGTACCTTGGACTTGCGCAGGTAATGTGAAATCTCAAGCAAAAACAATCTATTGACAGAGATTACTTTGAAATTAACATAGTTATCATGTAAAAATAACAATGGATTTCCAAATTTAGAGTTAACAGTTTGAAATGTTTCACCATGAACTTATAATTTTTTTTGTTTTTATAAAGGCAAAATGATTCTTTTGGTCTGTATGTTATTTGAAAGTATAGGTGGTAGGTAATGCTATAGACAAATAAATATCTGAAATTATGTTATATGGACTTGCTTGTGTTGTTGAGAGACAATAATAAATTAAACAATGCTCATTACAGATTGTTAGTTATATGGAATGTAGACTTTTTCTTGCATGCAATTTGAATTATTTTTACCATAAATTTGTGGACTGTTTAATAAACTGAACTTTCCTTGGGAAAATGCGATAAAATGTTGTCTGAATGGGATTGTTTTCATTAAAGGTTGTACTGGCAACAGTAATCTTTGTAAAGCCTTTTACATTAACATGTTTATTGTTGCTGATTAATTTCTTATAAGGATCGTCATGTTAATACATGAGCTTAAGCAGCTGTTCTGTTTATTTAAGAACTGAAAGATGCGCATTTATCATGTTTAAAATTTTATTTCACATCTGTAATGGATAACGAAGGCATTTGTTTCATTTTATGATATTTAATATTTTAGCGTGATCTTAAACAAGAAAGGTTCTTTTCTTTTCACACGCTTTTTTTAACTGATGTGGGTATAAATACTTCTAGCATCCTGTTTCTAGAAGATTAGTAATTTTGATTATGTTTGGAAAACCTTTTGCCCTTTAAGGTTGCAAGGTGATATTTGAGAAATACAATACATTTTTAATAAAACAATTGACTGAAAAATTTGTGTGGGAACCTCAGTTGAATACTACTGATAGTAATGGGTATCAGGTTAAAAGAAAATATCACGTACTGTAAGTTCTAAGTTATCCTTTGCGATAAGCTCAAAGTTAGTTAATGTGTACAGAAAATGTTTTACGGTGTATGTTTTCTGACTCTTGTTCATAAATATTCTTGCTTTCTATTTGAATTGATAGGTTTGTACTTTAAAATATTTAGCATTTTTGTCTCCTGAATGCATCCATTGTTTGGAAACATATCATCTTGCTGGTTACACCTTATTTACAGAACTCTTTGATATTTGTCTGGTTTTGTCTTTGCAAAAATAGTAGCAGAGACAGTTGTAAATAAAAAAAGGCTGAATTTAAATTCTTTTAGCAAACTGGTTGAGAATCTCTATGCAAACTGCTAGAGGGTTTGGGTCCCAAGTACCTATTTACCAGTAGCTCAATTGACCTTTACAAATGATACCAGTCTGCTAAATTTACTTGGTCCTTCTCTGTTTATTTGAACAGTGATCTTATCACACTTGAAATTGAGGAATTCGCACTTTCTATTTTTGCTAGTGATGGCCAACAATTTAATTGTTGAAGGACAGTGTTTTACGCCAACAGTAAACAGAAGTTAGTAAATAGGTACAGAATATGTTTTACATGTACAGTGTACATGTATGTTCAGTGACTCTTGTTCATAGATATTCTTGCTTTCTATTTGAATTGGAAGGTTTGTCCTTTAAAATATTTAGCATTTTTGTCTCACAAATGAGGTATTCAGGAATTCACACTTTCTATTTTTGCTAGTGATGGCCAACAATGTAATTGTTGAAGGACAGTGTTTTACACCAACAGTTTAAGGTTTCAAAATTGCTTACACGCCCAGTGGGAGGCAGTGGTATAATGTGTTTTACATGTGCATATCAAGAGATCAGATACAAGTCTTGCAGTTTTGACCTTGAAAATTCAGATATGATGTAAATGTTACAATGCTTCACTGTTGGTTCAAGCTGAAAACATGAATCCATTTAATTAAATAGTAAATTACCTCATGTGGTGTGTGCAAAGTTCTTCTGGTCAATTATTTAACTGAATATTTATATGAGGAATTGTTAGTTGGAAAAACACTTCCTATCACATACTGTTTTCTTTACAAAAAGTTTAGCTGGTTGTATTTCGAACCCAAAATGTCAGCTTACAGTGTGTCTCCTTGGAAACAACAGCCTTTTCCACATTATTGAAGTTTTAGCTGATAATTCATGAATTATTCTAGAAAAAGAGTGATTTTTTCTTTTTTCATACACTGGTAAATCTTAATATCCAGAGTGACCAAAGCGCTTTAAAAGAGATTTCATCGGAAATGAGTTTTTTGCTTTCTCGTCATAATGTGAAAATGTTTTGCTGTGAAGCACTCCTAGATGTCAATTATATGTTGGTTAATGGAATAATTATAGTTCTGTTTTGTCTGTGGTGACATAGAACAATGAACATGTTCAATGTTCACAGTTTACAATGTATGTACATATGCTGTACTAGCTGGAAATATTAGCTGAACAACAGATGTACACTTTGTCTGACTACATTTGTGTAGATGCTGCACAAACATGTTGTAAAACTCTGAGGATGTATGAACCACTCACTCCCAAATTTTGTCAAAATTGACCAAAATAGTCTTAAGTAATAAGAACCAGGTGACAATTACTGCTCAGTAAGTCTCATTTGAATATTAAGATAGCTGAAAGGTTTAATTATCCACAGTTTTATAAGTGAGAACTACCATTTAAATTCAACATAGCAAGCAACACTCATGAATACATGGAGCTTTCATTTTGTTGGTAGAAAGATAGATGTGACCCTTAGTGTGACACGATGAACATTTATTTAATTAAAATCATCTGACTGTTGTTCTCTTAAAGGAAAATCTTGTGTTTTTATTGTGGCCCACAAAATGGATTATAGAATCAATGATACCCTCACCCAAACAGGTTTCATCTGCAGATAAAAATCAGGTTTATTGACTTGAGTTATGAGCTGGAGCGTGATAGTGTTCTTGTATTATGTTAGAGTACTGTTCCTCGTTCAGAGGTGGATAAACCTGTTATCCTTACACTTCACTTTTGTTTGCACTTCTAGCAGTGTGGAAAAGATAAGAACCTAGGTCTAACTGTAGGTTATTTTTTAGGCAAGTGTTATTCATCAAGATTTCCTGAGGTTCATACATGTGGATGATCACGACTTGATCAAGAAGAATCTTCAGCCCTTCCCTGAGGACGAGGAGGAACAAGTAAGATGGATGACATGAATTTTTAGTGTTCAGTTAATGTCAACAGGGCTGTGTTCTAGGGTGCGTGGATGCCACACGCGACTAACTTTAGCCTTTGGGCGTCTGGAAAAACTCTTTTTTTTTCATATAAGCTTAAGTGCTGGTCACCCAGGATTTCATGGTTAGGAACCTTTTGGCTCCTCATGATTTTTCTTAGACCACAGCCTTGGTCAACTTTCATTGCAACACGTAGTGTATGGGTTCAACTTTTTTTGATTCATCCTACACAGAATGCCAAACATTATACCTTGTTTTGATTGCATTTCGCAGTTCTAACAGCAATATCGAGTATTGGAACCAAGAGCTCTACACTCAAAGTATTTTCTCTTTTTATTTCCTTTGCTGAATGAGCTCTTGAGTTGTTTACTGTGAGAGAACAAAGGAAATTTAGCATGTATTTTTATGAGGTTGTTTTTAGGGAGAAAAGCTGCTTGTGTATCAAGAATAAGTTTCAACCATGTTGAACTACAGGAATTGGTTTAATAAATGATTATATTGGAAATTATATTACATTTTCTTCTTGTTTGGGAAGGAAAAAAGGGCTGTTTCTTAACAGATAGTAATCTCTTTCCAACCAGCCTTTCAAATAATTTTTCTGTAAATTCCTGTTGTGCCTGAACAAACAATTTCTTTTCTGGAAGTTTCTTTTACATAATGCCAGCTTGTACTTGATTTTTTTCCTTTGGGTAGCAGGTTATATTGTGTGATAAAGAAAGTACTCCAGATTGTGTGACACAGTTCATTAAAAACAGAATGTTTTGATAATCAATATCTTGGTAATGCACGGAAGGAAATATATTGCGTTTAAAGTAAAAATCCACAGTACAGTAGTGTCCGTTGATTCCTGAATCCTGAGTGGTGATTTGACATCTTTTTGAACATGCTTTTCTGTAAATTTATTTACGCAGAAAATTAGAATTCTTGATGAGGAGAATGATGGGGCAGCTTCTGAAAGTGGCAGCACAAATAGTACAGGTATGAAAGTTTTTTTTTTTCAATAACAGTTCTGTAAAATGATTCACTTTCATACTGGTTGTTTTTTAAAAAAGCATGGTTCACTTTTTAGGAGACATACAAATTATGGTCTTATCTATTTTTCTTTCTCTCTTTCTTTCTTCCTTTGTTTTTTTTTTTCTTTTTTCATGCACAAATTTTCTAACAGTGAAAATTCACCCTGGGCTGTGAGCCCTAAGCTATTTTTTTCTTTGCTTTAGTGTGGAAAGTGTTTCAGTGCATAAAAGAGATCTTTGATAAAAGCAATGGCATTAGCCCAGGGCTAGTTTTTCCTTTTAATGGCTATCAATCTCTGTTATGCATACACCTACTACTAAACACAGACCATTTCTTTATTTTGGGTTTTTACAACTGATTTTGTTGAGGTTGCAACTTTTTCATGTTAGTGAGACATGCGATTGTATTCTCTTTCTCAGGAGATGACCAGAGCAATAACAATGCTGTGGAGACAGAGAGGTCTTTTGTTTGCAGAATGAAATGTATTTTGAATACAAGTGCTGGCTTCTTCAAGGTAAAATACAGTATGCACAGAAAAACACAAAATATGCTCTTTGTTAGTCCAATTAATAGATGTTGGTATGAGGCCTGATGGCATCAGAGTCTCCCTTCAGGAGTATAAATGGGTCCCAGCAAATTCAGTTGCTGTGATAACCCTGTAATCAACTCGTATCGTATTCAGGGGAGAGTAGAAATATTCCTAGTTGCTCTGTGGTGTGGAAACCAGAGACAAACGCCAGCCTGATGGGCCACTAGACTCCAACATAGACGATACGTATGATATTAAAATAGATGATTACTTTAATTAGTTTCTCATTATGCTNTTGTCGTCAGGTATTTAACTTGATCATTCAAAACTCTTCAATATTGCTTGATTACTGAAAAGATTGGTTGTGTTGGCTTGTTTTGTGGCTAGTTTAAGACAAACAGCGGTAAAAGGATTGATCATGTTGTGGCTAATAAAGTTCTCAGCATGCATGTGCTGGGGTAATCTTGTAAGAAAATAGTGTGTTCAAAGAGGATGCCTGAAATGATATAATATTGCTTGAAAGTACATGGGATAACTACAGTTAGACCCCATTAATTTGAACTTGGCTATTTCAAATTCCCCATTAGTTCAAACTCAAAACCATTTCCCTTTGATTTACCCTTCAGTTGTTTACTATCACCTATTTCAAACTGCTGCTATTTTGAACAATTTTTCATTTCCCGTAACAGTTCAAAATAGCGGGTTCTGTATGTAGTGAATGTATGATATGTGTGAGGCTAAAAGTTGGAAATAAATTCTGGTGGATGCTTGTATAAGGACACTGAAGAAGATCCATGGCAAGCTATTTTAGAGATGTTGAATCTATTCTGTTCTTTGATTTTATCCAAGAATTTGGGTACATGTATGCATTTTAAAACTAAAGAAAAAATCCACAAATTGATATATTTTTTTATCATCATCACCTTGTGGTTTCCTTGACAAAGATGTTCGTATTACAGTAATAGATGAAATTGATTGCTGTTGTATCTCTCAGGCCTTGGATGGCTTTGTTATCGTCCTGACCAGAGATTTTGAAGTATTCTATGCATCTGAAACCGTTCAGGAGTACCTTGGACTTGCGCAGGTAATGTGAAATCTCAAGCAAAAACAATCTATTGACAGAGATTACTTTGAAATTAACATAGTTATCATGTAAAAATAACAATGGATTTCCAAATTTAGAGTTAACAGTTTGAAATGTTTCACCATGAACTTATAATTTTTTTTGTTTTTATAAAGGCAAAATGATTCTTTTGGTCTGTATGTTATTTGAAAGTATAGGTGGTAGGTAATGCTATAGACAAATAAATATCTGAAATTATGTTATATGGACTTGCTTGTGTTGTTGAGAGACAATAATAAATTAAACAATGCTCATTACAGATTGTTAGTTATATGGAATGTAGACTTTTTCTTGCATGCAATTTGAATTATTTTTACCATAAATTTGTGGACTGTTTAATAAACTGAACTTTCCTTGGGAAAATGCGATAAAATGTTGTCTGAATGGGATTGTTTTCATTAAAGGTTGTACTGGCAACAGTAATCTTTGTAAAGCCTTTTACATTAACATGTTTATTGTTGCTGATTAATTTCTTATAAGGATCGTCATGTTAATACATGAGCTTAAGCAGCTGTTCTGTTTATTTAAGAACTGAAAGATGCGCATTTATCATGTTTAAAATTTTATTTCACATCTGTAATGGATAACGAAGGCATTTGTTTCATTTTATGATATTTAATATTTTAGCGTGATCTTAAACAAGAAAGGTTCTTTTCTTTTCACACGCTTTTTTTAACTGATGTGGGTATAAATACTTCTAGCATCCTGTTTCTAGAAGATTAGTAATTTTGATTATGTTTGGAAAACCTTTTGCCCTTTAAGGTTGCAAGGTGATATTTGAGAAATACAATACATTTTTAATAAAACAATTGACTGAAAAATTTGTGTGGGAACCTCAGTTGAATACTACTGATAGTAATGGGTATCAGGTTAAAAGAAAATATCACGTACTGTAAGTTCTAAGTTATCCTTTGCGATAAGCTCAAAGTTAGTTAATGTGTACAGAAAATGTTTTACGGTGTATGTTTTCTGACTCTTGTTCATAAATATTCTTGCTTTCTATTTGAATTGATAGGTTTGTACTTTAAAATATTTAGCATTTTTGTCTCCTGAATGCATCCATTGTTTGGAAACATATCATCTTGCTGGTTACACCTTATTTACAGAACTCTTTGATATTTGTCTGGTTTTGTCTTTGCAAAAATAGTAGCAGAGACAGTTGTAAATAAAAAAAGGCTGAATTTAAATTCTTTTAGCAAACTGGTTGAGAATCTCTATGCAAACTGCTAGAGGGTTTGGGTCCCAAGTACCTATTTACCAGTAGCTCAATTGACCTTTACAAATGATACCAGTCTGCTAAATTTACTTGGTCCTTCTCTGTTTATTTGAACAGTGATCTTATCACACTTGAAATTGAGGAATTCGCACTTTCTATTTTTGCTAGTGATGGCCAACAATTTAATTGTTGAAGGACAGTGTTTTACGCCAACAGTAAACAGAAGTTAGTAAATAGGTACAGAATATGTTTTACATGTACAGTGTACATGTATGTTCAGTGACTCTTGTTCATAGATATTCTTGCTTTCTATTTGAATTGGAAGGTTTGTCCTTTAAAATATTTAGCATTTTTGTCTCACAAATGAGGTATTCAGGAATTCACACTTTCTATTTTTGCTAGTGATGGCCAACAATGTAATTGTTGAAGGACAGTGTTTTACACCAACAGTTTAAGGTTTCAAAATTGCTTACACGCCCAGTGGGAGGCAGTGGTATAATGTGTTTTACATGTGCATATCAAGAGATCAGATACAAGTCTTGCAGTTTTGACCTTGAAAATTCAGATATGATGTAAATGTTACAATGCTTCACTGTTGGTTCAAGCTGAAAACATGAATCCATTTAATTAAATAGTAAATTACCTCATGTGGTGTGTGCAAAGTTCTTCTGGTCAATTATTTAACTGAATATTTATATGAGGAATTGTTAGTTGGAAAAACACTTCCTATCACATACTGTTTTCTTTACAAAAAGTTTAGCTGGTTGTATTTCGAACCCAAAATGTCAGCTTACAGTGTGTCTCCTTGGAAACAACAGCCTTTTCCACATTATTGAAGTTTTAGCTGATAATTCATGAATTATTCTAGAAAAAGAGTGATTTTTTCTTTTTTCATACACTGGTAAATCTTAATATCCAGAGTGACCAAAGCGCTTTAAAAGAGATTTCATCGGAAATGAGTTTTTTGCTTTCTCGTCATAATGTGAAAATGTTTTGCTGTGAAGCACTCCTAGATGTCAATTATATGTTGGTTAATGGAATAATTATAGTTCTGTTTTGTCTGTGGTGACATAGAACAATGAACATGTTCAATGTTCACAGTTTACAATGTATGTACATATGCTGTACTAGCTGGAAATATTAGCTGAACAACAGATGTACACTTTGTCTGACTACATTTGTGTAGATGCTGCACAAACATGTTGTAAAACTCTGAGGATGTATGAACCACTCACTCCCAAATTTTGTCAAAATTGACCAAAATAGTCTTAAGTAATAAGAACCAGGTGACAATTACTGCTCAGTAAGTCTCATTTGAATATTAAGATAGCTGAAAGGTTTAATTATCCACAGTTTTATAAGTGAGAACTACCATTTAAATTCAACATAGCAAGCAACACTCATGAATACATGGAGCTTTCATTTTGTTGGTAGAAAGATAGATGTGACCCTTAGTGTGACACGATGAACATTTATTTAATTAAAATCATCTGACTGTTGTTCTCTTAAAGGAAAATCTTGTGTTTTTATTGTGGCCCACAAAATGGATTATAGAATCAATGATACCCTCACCCAAACAGGTTTCATCTGCAGATAAAAATCAGGTTTATTGACTTGAGTTATGAGCTGGAGCGTGATAGTGTTCTTGTATTATGTTAGAGTACTGTTCCTCGTTCAGAGGTGGATAAACCTGTTATCCTTACACTTCACTTTTGTTTGCACTTCTAGCAGTGTGGAAAAGATAAGAACCTAGGTCTAACTGTAGGTTATTTTTTAGGCAAGTGTTATTCATCAAGATTTCCTGAGGTTCATACATGTGGATGATCACGACTTGATCAAGAAGAATCTTCAGCCCTTCCCTGAGGACGAGGAGGAACAAGTAAGATGGATGACATGAATTTTTAGTGTTCAGTTAATGTCAACAGGGCTGTGTTCTAGGGTGCGTGGATGCCACACGCGACTAACTTTAGCCTTTGGGCGTCTGGAAAAACTCTTTTTTTTTCATATAAGCTTAAGTGCTGGTCACCCAGGATTTCATGGTTAGGAACCTTTTGGCTCCTCATGATTTTTCTTAGACCACAGCCTTGGTCAACTTTCATTGCAACACGTAGTGTATGGGTTCAACTTTTTTTGATTCATCCTACACAGAATGCCAAACATTATACCTTGTTTTGATTGCATTTCGCAGTTCTAACAGCAATATCGAGTATTGGAACCAAGAGCTCTACACTCAAAGTATTTTCTCTTTTTATTTCCTTTGCTGAATGAGCTCTTGAGTTGTTTACTGTGAGAGAACAAAGGAAATTTAGCATGTATTTTTATGAGGTTGTTTTTAGGGAGAAAAGCTGCTTGTGTATCAAGAATAAGTTTCAACCATGTTGAACTACAGGAATTGGTTTAATAAATGATTATATTGGAAATTATATTACATTTTCTTCTTGTTTGGGAAGGAAAAAAGGGCTGTTTCTTAACAGATAGTAATCTCTTTCCAACCAGCCTTTCAAATAATTTTTCTGTAAATTCCTGTTGTGCCTGAACAAACAATTTCTTTTCTGGAAGTTTCTTTTACATAATGCCAGCTTGTACTTGATTTTTTTCCTTTGGGTAGCAGGTTATATTGTGTGATAAAGAAAGTACTCCAGATTGTGTGACACAGTTCATTAAAAACAGAATGTTTTGATAATCAATATCTTGGTAATGCACGGAAGGAAATATATTGCGTTTAAAGTAAAAATCCACAGTACAGTAGTGTCCGTTGATTCCTGAATCCTGAGTGGTGATTTGACATCTTTTTGAACATGCTTTTCTGTAAATTTATTTACGCAGAAAATTAGAATTCTTGATGAGGAGAATGATGGGGCAGCTTCTGAAAGTGGCAGCACAAATAGTACAGGTATGAAAGTTTTTTTTTTTCAATAACAGTTCTGTAAAATGATTCACTTTCATACTGGTTGTTTTTTAAAAAAGCATGGTTCACTTTTTAGGAGACATACAAATTATGGTCTTATCTATTTTTCTTTCTCTCTTTCTTTCTTCCTTTGTTTTTTTTTTTCTTTTTTCATGCACAAATTTTCTAACAGTGAAAATTCACCCTGGGCTGTGAGCCCTAAGCTATTTTTTTCTTTGCTTTAGTGTGGAAAGTGTTTCAGTGCATAAAAGAGATCTTTGATAAAAGCAATGGCATTAGCCCAGGGCTAGTTTTTCCTTTTAATGGCTATCAATCTCTGTTATGCATACACCTACTACTAAACACAGACCATTTCTTTATTTTGGGTTTTTACAACTGATTTTGTTGAGGTTGCAACTTTTTCATGTTAGTGAGACATGCGATTGTATTCTCTTTCTCAGGAGATGACCAGAGCAATAACAATGCTGTGGAGACAGAGAGGTCTTTTGTTTGCAGAATGAAATGTATTTTGAATACAAGTGCTGGCTTCTTCAAGGTAAAATACAGTATGCACAGAAAAACACAAAATATGCTCTTTGTTAGTCCAATTAATAGATGTTGGTATGAGGCCTGATGGCATCAGAGTCTCCCTTCAGGAGTATAAATGGGTCCCAGCAAATTCAGTTGCTGTGATAACCCTGTAATCAACTCGTATCGTATTCAGGGGAGAGTAGAAATATTCCTAGTTGCTCTGTGGTGTGGAAACCAGAGACAAACGCCAGCCTGATGGGCCACTAGACTCCAACATAGACGATACGTATGATATTAAAATAGATGATTACTTTAATTAGTTTCTCATTATGCTCTACAGCCATTCAGGTGTAGTGGACGTTTGCGTGAGATGACACTCCCTGACAGTGAAAGAAGAGAATATGGACTCTTCATGATCTGTACTCCACTGGAAACAGTTTCTTCTTCAATGCTTGAGATTAGACTAAAAACGTCCCTGTTCTGCACCAAGAACCGAATGGATCTGAGTTTTATGGATATTGATCAAAAGTAAGAAATGCGTCTTTACATTGATGTACAGAATATGTTTGGAAGAGAAATAATTATCATTCTTGTACAAGTGCACCCAAGATCATTTTAAAAACCTTAAACTTTAAGCCATTTTTCTGGCAACAAGCTACATTTTGGCATCAAGTTTACTAGTGTTTTCTGGAATTTTTTAACAGCAAATTTCTGTTGCAGAATGGAAGGTATTCTTGCTTGAATGTTTGATGGAACTTTCATGTACATTTGATCTCTTTCCAATGGAGTCCAAAGCTTAACTTATTTTTGAAATTATACAAAATTTAAAACAACCTACTTCTTTGATGTATGCTTAGTTAAATCATTCTGTGGGCTTGATAACTTTTAAGCAAATGTAATTAATTAAAAGTTTTTTGTTTTTTTTTGCAATTTTTTTTCAGGGGGAGATCATTGCTTGGTTATCACAAGAGAGATATAGCTCTGCAATCCAGTTATTGTATGATTCATTTTGACGATATTCCTGTGCTTCAGACTCTTCATAGTGACTGTAAGTATCAGTGTTGAATTTGACTTGCTTAGATGTTTTCATTATTTAAGTCTGGGATCAATTTTGGCCAGTATTCTTTTGGCGAAATCTTGTTCAAGTCACTTCATTCTCATGTTACCAATCTTAAAGTAACAGAACTTGGCAAGGAATCCAAACCAATTTACAAACCAGAACCAAAGTTCTCTTCAGGGTCTACTCAAGAATTAGTCGATTGTGCGTGCCCTCGTCAACTATCAGGCATAGAAATTGAGAGTGAATAATTTAACTTTTTTAGTCATGCAAAACTTTATCTAAATCCTCTTCACAGACACCACTGGCCACTTGTTTGTTAACAGCCCCACAATGCTAGGCTACTCATTATCTACAACAGACTAGATAGTGGGTAGTGTAGCCAACTAAAGAATGGCATTTGTGATAGAGGGCTAGTAGATTTATACTAAAAGGCAATTATAATTAATTATTATAATGTTGTTTCTTATAGTGATGGGCACTGGAAAATGTCAGGGAACATTTCGCATGCTGAACAAAAACCTGAAGTGGCAGTGGCTCACAGGGACAGCACAGGTTGTCTTCAAGGGAAACGAACCTGATTTTATAATCACAACAAACAGGCCTCTGAGGTAAACATTAAGACCTATTTTTTCCATAAGTTTTTAAAGCAGTGTCAAGCATACACTCGGGTAGTGATAACAGAAGACAACTGGGACATTTGTTTTGTTGTACCACCAAATTCTCCCATCTAACATGAAAAGAAAAGTGTAGTAACCAGTATGGAGAATAATTATTGAAGTTTTGAACTGATATTGAAAGGCGTACTATTCATTTCAGTGATCTGAGTGAGTGGCCATTCTAAATTTTGATTTTTTTTTTTTTTTTTTTTTTTTGCTAGTGATATAATAGGTGAAGAAATTTTGAGACAGCGAGGACAATTTCTTGTGTTACCTTTCACGGCAAGTGATAGTGGATCACCCAGTCCTCGGAGTCCGAGAAGCCCTGGCAGTGTTAGCAGCTACAGCAATGGTGGCAGTCCACATCCAGTTGGAGTACCCTGGGGAGATTTCTCTGCCACTGGGAACTTTAAATTCCCAAATATGCCACACAAGTATTCTAGCAATGGCAGAGTGAAGAAAAAGCCACCTGCTACGGAAGGAATCGCGAAATCTCCTGGTAGTGGTAAGTTTTCCTTTATTTCTGGTTCTTGCTTATCTAGACTCAAAAAAATAAGTTTAATAATGTACTCCACAGAGATCGCTCAGTGTTTCAGACTAGTTTTTGCTAAGTTTTCAGTTTTTTTCATTATAGCAGTAAGTCATGGGTATCTTTAGAAGCAATATGTTCGTTTAAATCTTGGAAGCCTTTCTTGGGAATAATCAATTGCTTATGAAGGAATTTGTCAGGCTTAAGAATTGGAGTGAGTAGATATGTTGTTTGCCTCTCTTAAGTGTTGCAGGGTAGTTGTTTAAACAATGCAAGTAACTTATGTGGTATCAGTGAAACAAAGAGAGTTTTTTTTTCTCAACTGGTCTATGTGACAAGGTGACTTGCAAAAGTCTTTGATCGACAATAGAAACTAGATTAAACGTTATTTTGGATGGAGTAGGGTTCCCATTTGTCTCATATTACTACAGAGTTGCCAAGTTTTTGTTACACAGTGGAAATCCAAATTAATAGGGTCACTAAAGGGCCTTGAAAATTTGGTGATATTCATGGTGGCCATATTAACAGGGTAGGGTCAAATTTTATTAAATGGTCTACTTTAAGTGAAGTCTTGACAGATCTATCACAATTGTATTTCTTAACATCTGTAATAAGCATCTGGAATGCAGATGTAACTTTAAAATTTAACTGAACCTCAACCGGTACATATGATATTAAGCGAGGAAATATGAACACACCTGTTTTGATTGGTCGTTTTAATTCATTGAAGGGTAAAATTATAATGGATTATACAGGTCGGGATGTGGCTGTTATCCGTATTAACAGGGCAACTGCATGAATGGGTTTTCTTGTAAGAAAATGTATGGGTATTTTGCTGGGATAAAAGGAAAGTTACCATAATAGTGAAGAACCATATTAACAAGGTGATCCTAAGGTGGGGTTCCACCGCACAGCATATTTGTTTGTAAAATTGCACCGCAATGTTGTGTGGTTTGAAGTCAGTACTAGTGAGTAATGAGGCTGACAAGGATCGTGTTCTTTTGCATGAAGCAAGTGAAGTTGTTAGCTTTATAGACTAGCGACTGTTCAAATGCACTGACCTGAAAAAACAACATACTAGCTTTGGGTAGGGGGAGCTAATTTTTTCAAAAGTTACAGTTGATGAAAAGTAATAGCACACAGAGGTGTGCTATTTGCCCAACATATACACAGTTGCTAGTGGTTTGGAGAACAAAGGATCTTTAATTACATTCTGGTTAATATTTGCCCTGTAAGTACCTTGCTATTATGCCGCCCACCCCCCTATTGCAGCCATGTGGTAGCTGAAATTGTAGCATAACTTATGGAACTTTTACTGAAAGCAGCTTCTGCTATGGCTGACACCAGATTGCGGTGTTAGTTGTGTGGACATTTAGGAACACAGTCAGGTCTTCTTTAAAACTCTTAGTACCCCTACCATAAAATTCTTACCCCGTTGCCCTTGAAAAAAAAGCAGCTATAACAGCATAACAAATTGATGTGTGATAACCTACAATTGATAGCTGCCCATAAAGGGGAAGTTATTAACTTAGTTGCTCTGTGCCACAGAAATCTCATGGGCTCAAAGGCAAAGTTGACTTTGATTGATAGCTTGTAAACCTATCAGCCTACCCTCACTATGCTGTTAAATTAATCCAAGTAAAATAAGGACATATTTGTGACCTACCAAGCATTAAACTTTGCTAAGGTGGCTTATCATTAGCTAAAACCTTACACAATGGGCTGGAAAAGATAGCAAACCCCGTAAATTACCATAATTTTTGTTTGTTTGTTCTTGTGGTAAATGCAATGCATTATGTGCCATCCTTCTTGTCCACAGCAAGTTACAAGTGTAAATTTTATTGCTATGTGCTGCATCATCCATACATGCTGCCAGTCTCGCTGTTTTCTGACGGCGAAATGGGGATCAGAGTTGCTGCTGGTGCTGATACTTTAACTTTTCCCTTTTTCTTGAAGTCCCTGGGTCACTTTCAACCAAATTTATGTTAGAGTGAGACCTGTCTAACTGAATGACAGAAATGTTTCTTCGGTGGAATGTTTTGTGTTGTTTCAAGTAACAGAGGAAGCAACACAATTAATGATCCAAAAGACTGTTTCTAGCATTTACTGTTTAAGGGTTTTGCCACGATTGTCTTATTTAACACCCTGCAAATTTGCATTTCTGTATTCCCATTTGCTAAATGCATCCATCTCACTTCTGTGTCTCAGCGATACACAATTAATTGTCCATTACGTAACAGGAGACCATTGCCAAAGCGTTTTTGTGAAAACTTCAAAAGCTTACCATTTTTAGAGCAACACACACATGCACACACTAAGGTACCTAAAAGCATGACACTTTTTGCAACCCCACTCAGAACTTACTGGTTTTTTTTTTTTCTGTTATTGTTAGGTTCTCCTTCCCCCATGCAGGATGATTTGTACTCACCTCAGCACCCTGGGTCCCCATTTCCTGATGCTTTTTTAAGCTCTACCTCTTGTACTTCTGCACCCCTGTCCCCGCCCTTGCTGGACTTGGGTGTAGACATACAAGCGGAGCTTGAAAGAGAGGCTCCAGACCTAGACTTCGCACTTCTTGATCCACAAGGTAAGATGGACCTTGTGTTCCTCTTTCACTCTGCTCTTTGTCTTCTCTCTCTCTTTCATGCTTTTCCTGCTCGCTTCTCCTTTCTTTCTGTTACATTCCAAGCTATTTGATTTTGATATTAACACCGTGCACCCCAATCAAAGATTAAAGTTCTGTTAATCCCTTTTAATGCTGTGTAACTTTACTTCTGGTATTATGCAGTGTAAATAGTATAAAGATAATGGTTAACCATAATACAAAGTAAGAGTAAACTTGGAATAAAGCAGTTTTTCAATGCCTTTTAAATTAAAGTAATCATTAATGATCAGTTCTAGACATGCCTATGTCCAATGTCTGTAGCTAGACTGCACATTGTACAGTACATCACCACTCCCCATCAGCAATGCCTCTTGCATTTTGTAGATCTGGCTGTCGTGATTGTTTGTTGAAACACTGCTTTAATTACACTCACCAGCAAAAATAACATCTGTTAATATTAACTGCAATTATCATGGAGTGAGGGAAGTTAAGTGGGAGAGATAAGGATAATTATAATAATGTTAAACTCATCTACTCACTGGCATGTGTTGTCTACTTACTAACGGTGTTGTTAAATTTGTTCCCCTCTAACACTTAACAAACAGCTTCGTAAATGTCAAGAACCACCTTGTAATATGTAATAAACAGTACCACATAAAACACACTGCTCAACGGCTCTCATTTTAATGGTCACACCCAGGTTTCATCCTCATGTTGAAAGTGAACACCACCTTGTACAGCATAATAAACAGTACCACGTGAAAGTATTGCTCAATAGCTCTTATTTGAATGGTCACGCACTAGGATTTCATCCACATACTCAGAGTGAGAACCGTCTTGTACGTACATTGTATTAAACATTACCAAATGAAACTGTGGCTCATTGGTGTTCATTTTAGTGGTCACACACTTTGGTTTCATCCTCAGATGCCAAAGTTAGGACCACCTTGTGCAGCGCAACAGTCAGTACCACTTAAAAGTGCTACTCCACAACTTTCATTTAAATGGTCACAGGCAGCATCCACAGACACGAAATATCAAGCACTACAATAATTATTGACTATTCTAATGCCACTGTTGAATAGAGATGACTTTGAGTTGCATCATTCAACCATAATAATCTTCATTTCTAATTCATCTGGAAAGGTGTTCATAAAAGAATGTTTTTGGGAGATAACCTGCACGTAACACCATACAGAGTACATGTGATAACGTAGATTAAAAGGAGATTAATATCAGTCAAAATTGGAGGAGAATCTCTGACTTGAAGTTTCTGTTTTGTTTCTTTGAAACAGATTTAACATTAAATGATCTTCATCTTGAACCACTGGAGAATGTTAACGGCAGTGATCTTTTGGCTATGAATCCACCAACTTATGAAGAGGCCTTGTTGCTTGCTACAGGTTGTCTTTCACTTAGTGGTGACAACAACAGTCTGACAAGTCCCGATGGAAGTCAGCCCTCATTATCTCAAAGCCCTCCAAAGAATCTCGAACACTTTTCACCAACACCCCAAATGGGCCCATCACCTTATCCATCACCAGGACATCCTACATCGCATAATTCACCCAGTGGTTTACCAACTCCTGACCCATCCCCTGTGGGGCATTGTAATCCATCAACAGCCAGAGTCAACATCTCCTGGCAGGGGATGGGCCAGATGAAAGTGTCCACTCAGCCTCTGCAACATTGCCAGCCTCAACCATCGCCACAAGTGCATTCAAAGTCGGCACTTATTTCTACAACAATAAAAAAGAAAGAGAGGCTTGAGATGTATGGTTCAAGTTGTGTCACAGGTCAACCTGCTAACCCTATGACAAGTCCCAGGGGAATGCAAAATGTTCATGGAAACTGGATGCAGCAGAATCAACCACAAGTTCCCAGAAACATGCCGCAACAAGCCTATGACTGGAAAGCAGCACAAGCAATGCAACACAGCGCAATGCAGAATTTTTCTGGGGACAGAACTGCCACAGCCATGGCCCAGGAAAACCCTGTTTATGCAACAAATATGCAAGGAGGAAAGTGGGACAATGTAACGGTCCCTCCTCTCTTTGAGGACACTCTGCCAACTCTCGATTTTGATGGTGGTGTAGGATACATGAAAACAGGACAAAACATTGGAGGAGGTCATCTTCAACATCACAACTGGGAGCCACCTGTGGACATTTTATCGCCACCTTACCAAGAGGACTTTCATCCAGGATTTGGATTTCAAGGAAATCCTCTCCCTGCTACAACAACGCAAGGTCAAACAACCCTTGGATGGGGATAAGAGAGGTGCAAGGTAGCATTAAAGTAAATACTGTCCATAGATTCAACAGCCAGGGTAGAGTTTCAGTCAAACCTACCAGTGGGCATTAGGGCAGTAAAGCCTGCATTGATTTGATCCCCAAGTTTTCACAGTTTGTATTGACAGAAGGGCAAATTGAACTGACTTCAGAGCTTTAGAGTTGACGAAGTATGTTTCGTGGATAGATGCATTCCAGATTTTTAGGTGTTTTGTTCATGGAAAACAACTTCTTAACACAATGGCGATGGCATTAGAGTGTCATCTTACCAAATATTTAAAGAGAATGAGCAGTTTTGTACATTTTCTCAGTAGGGTTATAAGTATGTTAAATGGTACTTTCAATCAGGTTATAGGAGCCGAGTGCATTCATGGTATCAGTTATTTCATTGGCTCAAAATGTTATACCCTGAATGCCAATTTAGCAGTTTTCATCTGAAAACAACTATTTTGCTTAAGTGTATTTGTTGGTGTAGCTCGATTTGAGGTACAACTTTTAGCCAAGTAACCATAATTACCCATTTCATTGCACTTGCAACAGTAGGAAATCTTAGTCTGGTCAGTTCAAATTTTAACGTGAAAAATTTAAAAATCTCTCATATAGTGATAGAGTGAAAAGTAAGGAAAAGTTCAAAAAGGTATGTGACTTAAGTTTCTAAAATTGATCGTTTTAAGAAATGAGCCTCATTGTAAGCTGTGTTCGTTAGTTTACCAAGTGAGCATGTAAAGACCTTTCCCAGCAACTGGTTTTTGGTGTCACTGTTGAGATTTGAGAGGCACATTGCTCAAATGGCAAGTGCATTGGCTCTGGATCCAGCTGTCCAAGTTCAATTGCTTGCCTGGGTCATTGTGTTGTGTTCTTGGGCAAGACGCTTTACTCTTGCAGTGCCTTTTTCCAACCTGGGATGTGAGGTAGTCACATTGGGGGAGGGGGCTAGGAATTCTGTGGGGGGCAAAAGGGAATCCTCTCCAGGGGGTATAGAAATTCCTTGGGGGCACTTGGTGGAACAAAAAACAAACTAAGCTCTAACAGTATGTGCAAAGTGTGTACCTTTTTGCAAAGATTTGAGACTTGAAAGCTCAGAGCTGGTTATTGTACAACTCGATTCATGTGATGTTCTTGTGAGGCTTTTTCTTAATTTGATCAAATTTGAGGACTTTTGCCCTGTCCCCTTTGAATATCAGTCAGTGTTGTCTCTGCTTAGAAGAGTATTGATTGAAACTATGAAATAAATCTGAGGATTGTCTAAGAAGGATAATTAAGCAAAAAAGGATGTACTTTAACCACGCTGAGTCTTTTTCCAGTCATACTTCCATATGCGTCCCATTTGCCTTGTACATAGATCAAGGGAAATCATTCAGTTTGTACAGTTTCTTTTTTTATCCACATTTGGTTCAGTCCTTTGTACTTAACCTAAGACTTCATGCTTTTTTGCCATAGACTTCATGTTTTTTTGCCATTTTTTAAAGTTTTCTCCTTATGGAAGGAAACAATTTTTTGTTTTTAATCCAAAAGCGATTGTGTTCCATTTTTTTTTTCCGAATCAAAATTTACACTTTCAGCCCTGGCCTGCATTCTCAACCAAAATAATTTAATTTGTACATCAAGGCAATGTCAGTTAAGGTTGGTTGAAGGCATCCTTTTTGCAACCTCAATCCCAGGCAAAGGAGACAGCCTTGGAACGNAGCAATGGTGGCAGTCCACATCCAGTTGGAGTACCCTGGGGAGATTTCTCTGCCACTGGGAACTTTAAATTCCCAAATATGCCACACAAGTATTCTAGCAATGGCAGAGTGAAGAAAAAGCCACCTGCTACGGAAGGAATCGCGAAATCTCCTGGTAGTGGTAAGTTTTCCTTTATTTCTGGTTCTTGCTTATCTAGACTCAAAAAAATAAGTTTAATAATGTACTCCACAGAGATCGCTCAGTGTTTCAGACTAGTTTTTGCTAAGTTTTCAGTTTTTTTCATTATAGCAGTAAGTCATGGGTATCTTTAGAAGCAATATGTTCGTTTAAATCTTGGAAGCCTTTCTTGGGAATAATCAATTGCTTATGAAGGAATTTGTCAGGCTTAAGAATTGGAGTGAGTAGATATGTTGTTTGCCTCTCTTAAGTGTTGCAGGGTAGTTGTTTAAACAATGCAAGTAACTTATGTGGTATCAGTGAAACAAAGAGAGTTTTTTTTTCTCAACTGGTCTATGTGACAAGGTGACTTGCAAAAGTCTTTGATCGACAATAGAAACTAGATTAAACGTTATTTTGGATGGAGTAGGGTTCCCATTTGTCTCATATTACTACAGAGTTGCCAAGTTTTTGTTACACAGTGGAAATCCAAATTAATAGGGTCACTAAAGGGCCTTGAAAATTTGGTGATATTCATGGTGGCCATATTAACAGGGTAGGGTCAAATTTTATTAAATGGTCTACTTTAAGTGAAGTCTTGACAGATCTATCACAATTGTATTTCTTAACATCTGTAATAAGCATCTGGAATGCAGATGTAACTTTAAAATTTAACTGAACCTCAACCGGTACATATGATATTAAGCGAGGAAATATGAACACACCTGTTTTGATTGGTCGTTTTAATTCATTGAAGGGTAAAATTATAATGGATTATACAGGTCGGGATGTGGCTGTTATCCGTATTAACAGGGCAACTGCATGAATGGGTTTTCTTGTAAGAAAATGTATGGGTATTTTGCTGGGATAAAAGGAAAGTTACCATAATAGTGAAGAACCATATTAACAAGGTGATCCTAAGGTGGGGTTCCACCGCACAGCATATTTGTTTGTAAAATTGCACCGCAATGTTGTGTGGTTTGAAGTCAGTACTAGTGAGTAATGAGGCTGACAAGGATCGTGTTCTTTTGCATGAAGCAAGTGAAGTTGTTAGCTTTATAGACTAGCGACTGTTCAAATGCACTGACCTGAAAAAACAACATACTAGCTTTGGGTAGGGGGAGCTAATTTTTTCAAAAGTTACAGTTGATGAAAAGTAATAGCACACAGAGGTGTGCTATTTGCCCAACATATACACAGTTGCTAGTGGTTTGGAGAACAAAGGATCTTTAATTACATTCTGGTTAATATTTGCCCTGTAAGTACCTTGCTATTATGCCGCCCACCCCCCTATTGCAGCCATGTGGTAGCTGAAATTGTAGCATAACTTATGGAACTTTTACTGAAAGCAGCTTCTGCTATGGCTGACACCAGATTGCGGTGTTAGTTGTGTGGACATTTAGGAACACAGTCAGGTCTTCTTTAAAACTCTTAGTACCCCTACCATAAAATTCTTACCCCGTTGCCCTTGAAAAAAAAGCAGCTATAACAGCATAACAAATTGATGTGTGATAACCTACAATTGATAGCTGCCCATAAAGGGGAAGTTATTAACTTAGTTGCTCTGTGCCACAGAAATCTCATGGGCTCAAAGGCAAAGTTGACTTTGATTGATAGCTTGTAAACCTATCAGCCTACCCTCACTATGCTGTTAAATTAATCCAAGTAAAATAAGGACATATTTGTGACCTACCAAGCATTAAACTTTGCTAAGGTGGCTTATCATTAGCTAAAACCTTACACAATGGGCTGGAAAAGATAGCAAACCCCGTAAATTACCATAATTTTTGTTTGTTTGTTCTTGTGGTAAATGCAATGCATTATGTGCCATCCTTCTTGTCCACAGCAAGTTACAAGTGTAAATTTTATTGCTATGTGCTGCATCATCCATACATGCTGCCAGTCTCGCTGTTTTCTGACGGCGAAATGGGGATCAGAGTTGCTGCTGGTGCTGATACTTTAACTTTTCCCTTTTTCTTGAAGTCCCTGGGTCACTTTCAACCAAATTTATGTTAGAGTGAGACCTGTCTAACTGAATGACAGAAATGTTTCTTCGGTGGAATGTTTTGTGTTGTTTCAAGTAACAGAGGAAGCAACACAATTAATGATCCAAAAGACTGTTTCTAGCATTTACTGTTTAAGGGTTTTGCCACGATTGTCTTATTTAACACCCTGCAAATTTGCATTTCTGTATTCCCATTTGCTAAATGCATCCATCTCACTTCTGTGTCTCAGCGATACACAATTAATTGTCCATTACGTAACAGGAGACCATTGCCAAAGCGTTTTTGTGAAAACTTCAAAAGCTTACCATTTTTAGAGCAACACACACATGCACACACTAAGGTACCTAAAAGCATGACACTTTTTGCAACCCCACTCAGAACTTACTGGTTTTTTTTTTTTCTGTTATTGTTAGGTTCTCCTTCCCCCATGCAGGATGATTTGTACTCACCTCAGCACCCTGGGTCCCCATTTCCTGATGCTTTTTTAAGCTCTACCTCTTGTACTTCTGCACCCCTGTCCCCGCCCTTGCTGGACTTGGGTGTAGACATACAAGCGGAGCTTGAAAGAGAGGCTCCAGACCTAGACTTCGCACTTCTTGATCCACAAGGTAAGATGGACCTTGTGTTCCTCTTTCACTCTGCTCTTTGTCTTCTCTCTCTCTTTCATGCTTTTCCTGCTCGCTTCTCCTTTCTTTCTGTTACATTCCAAGCTATTTGATTTTGATATTAACACCGTGCACCCCAATCAAAGATTAAAGTTCTGTTAATCCCTTTTAATGCTGTGTAACTTTACTTCTGGTATTATGCAGTGTAAATAGTATAAAGATAATGGTTAACCATAATACAAAGTAAGAGTAAACTTGGAATAAAGCAGTTTTTCAATGCCTTTTAAATTAAAGTAATCATTAATGATCAGTTCTAGACATGCCTATGTCCAATGTCTGTAGCTAGACTGCACATTGTACAGTACATCACCACTCCCCATCAGCAATGCCTCTTGCATTTTGTAGATCTGGCTGTCGTGATTGTTTGTTGAAACACTGCTTTAATTACACTCACCAGCAAAAATAACATCTGTTAATATTAACTGCAATTATCATGGAGTGAGGGAAGTTAAGTGGGAGAGATAAGGATAATTATAATAATGTTAAACTCATCTACTCACTGGCATGTGTTGTCTACTTACTAACGGTGTTGTTAAATTTGTTCCCCTCTAACACTTAACAAACAGCTTCGTAAATGTCAAGAACCACCTTGTAATATGTAATAAACAGTACCACATAAAACACACTGCTCAACGGCTCTCATTTTAATGGTCACACCCAGGTTTCATCCTCATGTTGAAAGTGAACACCACCTTGTACAGCATAATAAACAGTACCACGTGAAAGTATTGCTCAATAGCTCTTATTTGAATGGTCACGCACTAGGATTTCATCCACATACTCAGAGTGAGAACCGTCTTGTACGTACATTGTATTAAACATTACCAAATGAAACTGTGGCTCATTGGTGTTCATTTTAGTGGTCACACACTTTGGTTTCATCCTCAGATGCCAAAGTTAGGACCACCTTGTGCAGCGCAACAGTCAGTACCACTTAAAAGTGCTACTCCACAACTTTCATTTAAATGGTCACAGGCAGCATCCACAGACACGAAATATCAAGCACTACAATAATTATTGACTATTCTAATGCCACTGTTGAATAGAGATGACTTTGAGTTGCATCATTCAACCATAATAATCTTCATTTCTAATTCATCTGGAAAGGTGTTCATAAAAGAATGTTTTTGGGAGATAACCTGCACGTAACACCATACAGAGTACATGTGATAACGTAGATTAAAAGGAGATTAATATCAGTCAAAATTGGAGGAGAATCTCTGACTTGAAGTTTCTGTTTTGTTTCTTTGAAACAGATTTAACATTAAATGATCTTCATCTTGAACCACTGGAGAATGTTAACGGCAGTGATCTTTTGGCTATGAATCCACCAACTTATGAAGAGGCCTTGTTGCTTGCTACAGGTTGTCTTTCACTTAGTGGTGACAACAACAGTCTGACAAGTCCCGATGGAAGTCAGCCCTCATTATCTCAAAGCCCTCCAAAGAATCTCGAACACTTTTCACCAACACCCCAAATGGGCCCATCACCTTATCCATCACCAGGACATCCTACATCGCATAATTCACCCAGTGGTTTACCAACTCCTGACCCATCCCCTGTGGGGCATTGTAATCCATCAACAGCCAGAGTCAACATCTCCTGGCAGGGGATGGGCCAGATGAAAGTGTCCACTCAGCCTCTGCAACATTGCCAGCCTCAACCATCGCCACAAGTGCATTCAAAGTCGGCACTTATTTCTACAACAATAAAAAAGAAAGAGAGGCTTGAGATGTATGGTTCAAGTTGTGTCACAGGTCAACCTGCTAACCCTATGACAAGTCCCAGGGGAATGCAAAATGTTCATGGAAACTGGATGCAGCAGAATCAACCACAAGTTCCCAGAAACATGCCGCAACAAGCCTATGACTGGAAAGCAGCACAAGCAATGCAACACAGCGCAATGCAGAATTTTTCTGGGGACAGAACTGCCACAGCCATGGCCCAGGAAAACCCTGTTTATGCAACAAATATGCAAGGAGGAAAGTGGGACAATGTAACGGTCCCTCCTCTCTTTGAGGACACTCTGCCAACTCTCGATTTTGATGGTGGTGTAGGATACATGAAAACAGGACAAAACATTGGAGGAGGTCATCTTCAACATCACAACTGGGAGCCACCTGTGGACATTTTATCGCCACCTTACCAAGAGGACTTTCATCCAGGATTTGGATTTCAAGGAAATCCTCTCCCTGCTACAACAACGCAAGGTCAAACAACCCTTGGATGGGGATAAGAGAGGTGCAAGGTAGCATTAAAGTAAATACTGTCCATAGATTCAACAGCCAGGGTAGAGTTTCAGTCAAACCTACCAGTGGGCATTAGGGCAGTAAAGCCTGCATTGATTTGATCCCCAAGTTTTCACAGTTTGTATTGACAGAAGGGCAAATTGAACTGACTTCAGAGCTTTAGAGTTGACGAAGTATGTTTCGTGGATAGATGCATTCCAGATTTTTAGGTGTTTTGTTCATGGAAAACAACTTCTTAACACAATGGCGATGGCATTAGAGTGTCATCTTACCAAATATTTAAAGAGAATGAGCAGTTTTGTACATTTTCTCAGTAGGGTTATAAGTATGTTAAATGGTACTTTCAATCAGGTTATAGGAGCCGAGTGCATTCATGGTATCAGTTATTTCATTGGCTCAAAATGTTATACCCTGAATGCCAATTTAGCAGTTTTCATCTGAAAACAACTATTTTGCTTAAGTGTATTTGTTGGTGTAGCTCGATTTGAGGTACAACTTTTAGCCAAGTAACCATAATTACCCATTTCATTGCACTTGCAACAGTAGGAAATCTTAGTCTGGTCAGTTCAAATTTTAACGTGAAAAATTTAAAAATCTCTCATATAGTGATAGAGTGAAAAGTAAGGAAAAGTTCAAAAAGGTATGTGACTTAAGTTTCTAAAATTGATCGTTTTAAGAAATGAGCCTCATTGTAAGCTGTGTTCGTTAGTTTACCAAGTGAGCATGTAAAGACCTTTCCCAGCAACTGGTTTTTGGTGTCACTGTTGAGATTTGAGAGGCACATTGCTCAAATGGCAAGTGCATTGGCTCTGGATCCAGCTGTCCAAGTTCAATTGCTTGCCTGGGTCATTGTGTTGTGTTCTTGGGCAAGACGCTTTACTCTTGCAGTGCCTTTTTCCAACCTGGGATGTGAGGTAGTCACATTGGGGGAGGGGGCTAGGAATTCTGTGGGGGGCAAAAGGGAATCCTCTCCAGGGGGTATAGAAATTCCTTGGGGGCACTTGGTGGAACAAAAAACAAACTAAGCTCTAACAGTATGTGCAAAGTGTGTACCTTTTTGCAAAGATTTGAGACTTGAAAGCTCAGAGCTGGTTATTGTACAACTCGATTCATGTGATGTTCTTGTGAGGCTTTTTCTTAATTTGATCAAATTTGAGGACTTTTGCCCTGTCCCCTTTGAATATCAGTCAGTGTTGTCTCTGCTTAGAAGAGTATTGATTGAAACTATGAAATAAATCTGAGGATTGTCTAAGAAGGATAATTAAGCAAAAAAGGATGTACTTTAACCACGCTGAGTCTTTTTCCAGTCATACTTCCATATGCGTCCCATTTGCCTTGTACATAGATCAAGGGAAATCATTCAGTTTGTACAGTTTCTTTTTTTATCCACATTTGGTTCAGTCCTTTGTACTTAACCTAAGACTTCATGCTTTTTTGCCATAGANAGCAATGGTGGCAGTCCACATCCAGTTGGAGTACCCTGGGGAGATTTCTCTGCCACTGGGAACTTTAAATTCCCAAATATGCCACACAAGTATTCTAGCAATGGCAGAGTGAAGAAAAAGCCACCTGCTACGGAAGGAATCGCGAAATCTCCTGGTAGTGGTAAGTTTTCCTTTATTTCTGGTTCTTGCTTATCTAGACTCAAAAAAATAAGTTTAATAATGTACTCCACAGAGATCGCTCAGTGTTTCAGACTAGTTTTTGCTAAGTTTTCAGTTTTTTTCATTATAGCAGTAAGTCATGGGTATCTTTAGAAGCAATATGTTCGTTTAAATCTTGGAAGCCTTTCTTGGGAATAATCAATTGCTTATGAAGGAATTTGTCAGGCTTAAGAATTGGAGTGAGTAGATATGTTGTTTGCCTCTCTTAAGTGTTGCAGGGTAGTTGTTTAAACAATGCAAGTAACTTATGTGGTATCAGTGAAACAAAGAGAGTTTTTTTTTCTCAACTGGTCTATGTGACAAGGTGACTTGCAAAAGTCTTTGATCGACAATAGAAACTAGATTAAACGTTATTTTGGATGGAGTAGGGTTCCCATTTGTCTCATATTACTACAGAGTTGCCAAGTTTTTGTTACACAGTGGAAATCCAAATTAATAGGGTCACTAAAGGGCCTTGAAAATTTGGTGATATTCATGGTGGCCATATTAACAGGGTAGGGTCAAATTTTATTAAATGGTCTACTTTAAGTGAAGTCTTGACAGATCTATCACAATTGTATTTCTTAACATCTGTAATAAGCATCTGGAATGCAGATGTAACTTTAAAATTTAACTGAACCTCAACCGGTACATATGATATTAAGCGAGGAAATATGAACACACCTGTTTTGATTGGTCGTTTTAATTCATTGAAGGGTAAAATTATAATGGATTATACAGGTCGGGATGTGGCTGTTATCCGTATTAACAGGGCAACTGCATGAATGGGTTTTCTTGTAAGAAAATGTATGGGTATTTTGCTGGGATAAAAGGAAAGTTACCATAATAGTGAAGAACCATATTAACAAGGTGATCCTAAGGTGGGGTTCCACCGCACAGCATATTTGTTTGTAAAATTGCACCGCAATGTTGTGTGGTTTGAAGTCAGTACTAGTGAGTAATGAGGCTGACAAGGATCGTGTTCTTTTGCATGAAGCAAGTGAAGTTGTTAGCTTTATAGACTAGCGACTGTTCAAATGCACTGACCTGAAAAAACAACATACTAGCTTTGGGTAGGGGGAGCTAATTTTTTCAAAAGTTACAGTTGATGAAAAGTAATAGCACACAGAGGTGTGCTATTTGCCCAACATATACACAGTTGCTAGTGGTTTGGAGAACAAAGGATCTTTAATTACATTCTGGTTAATATTTGCCCTGTAAGTACCTTGCTATTATGCCGCCCACCCCCCTATTGCAGCCATGTGGTAGCTGAAATTGTAGCATAACTTATGGAACTTTTACTGAAAGCAGCTTCTGCTATGGCTGACACCAGATTGCGGTGTTAGTTGTGTGGACATTTAGGAACACAGTCAGGTCTTCTTTAAAACTCTTAGTACCCCTACCATAAAATTCTTACCCCGTTGCCCTTGAAAAAAAAGCAGCTATAACAGCATAACAAATTGATGTGTGATAACCTACAATTGATAGCTGCCCATAAAGGGGAAGTTATTAACTTAGTTGCTCTGTGCCACAGAAATCTCATGGGCTCAAACGCAAAGTTGACTTTGATTGATAGCTTGTAAACCTATCAGCCTACCCTCACTATGCTGTTAAATTAATCCAAGTAAAATAAGGACATATTTGTGACCTACCAAGCATTAAACTTTGCTAAGGTGGCTTATCATTAGCTAAAACCTTACACAATGGGCTGGAAAAGATAGCAAACCCCGTAAATTACCATAATTTTTGTTTGTTTGTTCTTGTGGTAAATGCAATGCATTATGTGCCATCCTTCTTGTCCACAGCAAGTTACAAGTGTAAATTTTATTGCTATGTGCTGCATCATCCATACATGCTGCCAGTCTCGCTGTTTTCTGACGGCGAAATGGGGATCAGAGTTGCTGCTGGTGCTGATACTTTAACTTTTCCCTTTTTCTTGAAGTCCCTGGGTCACTTTCAACCAAATTTATGTTAGAGTGAGACCTGTCTAACTGAATGACAGAAATGTTTCTTCGGTGGAATGTTTTGTGTTGTTTCAAGTAACAGAGGAAGCAACACAATTAATGATCCAAAAGACTGTTTCTAGCATTTACTGTTTAAGGGTTTTGCCACGATTGTCTTATTTAACACCCTGCAAATTTGCATTTCTGTATTCCCATTTGCTAAATGCATCCATCTCACTTCTGTGTCTCAGCGATACACAATTAATTGTCCATTACGTAACAGGAGACCATTGCCAAAGCGTTTTTGTGAAAACTTCAAAAGCTTACCATTTTTAGAGCAACACACACATGCACACACTAAGGTACCTAAAAGCATGACACTTTTTGCAACCCCACTCAGAACTTACTGGTTTTTTTTTTTTCTGTTATTGTTAGGTTCTCCTTCCCCCATGCAGGATGATTTGTACTCACCTCAGCACCCTGGGTCCCCATTTCCTGATGCTTTTTTAAGCTCTACCTCTTGTACTTCTGCACCCCTGTCCCCGCCCTTGCTGGACTTGGGTGTAGACATACAAGCGGAGCTTGAAAGAGAGGCTCCAGACCTAGACTTCGCACTTCTTGATCCACAAGGTAAGATGGACCTTGTGTTCCTCTTTCACTCTGCTCTTTGTCTTCTCTCTCTCTTTCATGCTTTTCCTGCTCGCTTCTCCTTTCTTTCTGTTACATTCCAAGCTATTTGATTTTGATATTAACACCGTGCACCCCAATCAAAGATTAAAGTTCTGTTAATCCCTTTTAATGCTGTGTAACTTTACTTCTGGTATTATGCAGTGTAAATAGTATAAAGATAATGGTTAACCATAATACAAAGTAAGAGTAAACTTGGAATAAAGCAGTTTTTCAATGCCTTTTAAATTAAAGTAATCATTAATGATCAGTTCTAGACATGCCTATGTCCAATGTCTGTAGCTAGACTGCACATTGTACAGTACATCACCACTCCCCATCAGCAATGCCTCTTGCATTTTGTAGATCTGGCTGTCGTGATTGTTTGTTGAAACACTGCTTTAATTACACTCACCAGCAAAAATAACATCTGTTAATATTAACTGCAATTATCATGGAGTGAGGGAAGTTAAGTGGGAGAGATAAGGATAATTATAATAATGTTAAACTCATCTACTCACTGGCATGTGTTGTCTACTTACTAACGGTGTTGTTAAATTTGTTCCCCTCTAACACTTAACAAACAGCTTCGTAAATGTCAAGAACCACCTTGTAATATGTAATAAACAGTACCACATAAAACACACTGCTCAACGGCTCTCATTTTAATGGTCACACCCAGGTTTCATCCTCATGTTGAAAGTGAACACCACCTTGTACAGCATAATAAACAGTACCACATGAAAGTATTGCTCAATAGCTCTTATTTGAATGGTCACGCACTAGGATTTCATCCACATACTCAGAGTGAGAACCGTCTTGTACGTACATTGTATTAAACATTACCAAATGAAACTGTGGCTCATTGGTGTTCATTTTAGTGGTCACACACTTTGGTTTCATCCTCAGATGCCAAAGTTAGGACCACCTTGTGCAGCGCAACAGTCAGTACCACTTAAAAGTGCTACTCCACAACTTTCATTTAAATGGTCACAGGCAGCATCCACAGACACGAAATATCAAGCACTACAATAATTATTGACTATTCTAATGCCACTGTTGAATAGAGATGACTTTGAGTTGCATCATTCAACCATAATAATCTTCATTTCTAATTCATCTGGAAAGGTGTTCATAAAAGAATGTTTTTGGGAGATAACCTGCACGTAACACCATACAGAGTACATGTGATAACGTAGATTAAAAGGAGATTAATATCAGTCAAAATTGGAGGAGAATCTCTGACTTGAAGTTTCTGTTTTGTTTCTTTGAAACAGATTTAACATTAAATGATCTTCATCTTGAACCACTGGAGAATGTTAACGGCAGTGATCTTTTGGCTATGAATCCACCAACTTATGAAGAGGCCTTGTTGCTTGCTACAGGTTGTCTTTCACTTAGTGGTGACAACAACAGTCTGACAAGTCCCGATGGAAGTCAGCCCTCATTATCTCAAAGCCCTCCAAAGAATCTCGAACACTTTTCACCAACACCCCAAATGGGCCCATCACCTTATCCATCACCAGGACATCCTACATCGCATAATTCACCCAGTGGTTTACCAACTCCTGACCCATCCCCTGTGGGGCATTGTAATCCATCAACAGCCAGAGTCAACATCTCCTGGCAGGGGATGGGCCAGATGAAAGTGTCCACTCAGCCTCTGCAACATTGCCAGCCTCAACCATCGCCACAAGTGCATTCAAAGTCGGCACTTATTTCTACAACAATAAAAAAGAAAGAGAGGCTTGAGATGTATGGTTCAAGTTGTGTCACAGGTCAACCTGCTAACCCTATGACAAGTCCCAGGGGAATGCAAAATGTTCATGGAAACTGGATGCAGCAGAATCAACCACAAGTTCCCAGAAACATGCCGCAACAAGCCTATGACTGGAAAGCAGCACAAGCAATGCAACACAGCGCAATGCAGAATTTTTCTGGGGACAGAACTGCCACAGCCATGGCCCAGGAAAACCCTGTTTATGCAACAAATATGCAAGGAGGAAAGTGGGACAATGTAACGGTCCCTCCTCTCTTTGAGGACACTCTGCCAACTCTCGATTTTGATGGTGGTGTAGGATACATGAAAACAGGACAAAACATTGGAGGAGGTCATCTTCAACATCACAACTGGGAGCCACCTGTGGACATTTTATCGCCACCTTACCAAGAGGACTTTCATCCAGGATTTGGATTTCAAGGAAATCCTCTCCCTGCTACAACAACGCAAGGTCAAACAACCCTTGGATGGGGATAAGAGAGGTGCAAGGTAGCATTAAAGTAAATACTGTCCATAGATTCAACAGCCAGGGTAGAGTTTCAGTCAAACCTACCAGTGGGCATTAGGGCAGTAAAGCCTGCATTGATTTGATCCCCAAGTTTTCACAGTTTGTATTGACAGAAGGGCAAATTGAACTGACTTCAGAGCTTTAGAGTTGACGAAGTATGTTTCGTGGATAGATGCATTCCAGATTTTTAGGTGTTTTGTTCATGGAAAACAACTTCTTAACACAATGGCGATGGCATTAGAGTGTCATCTTACCAAATATTTAAAGAGAATGAGCAGTTTTGTACATTTTCTCAGTAGGGTTATAAGTATGTTAAATGGTACTTTCAATCAGGTTATAGGAGCCGAGTGCATTCATGGTATCAGTTATTTCATTGGCTCAAAATGTTATACCCTGAATGCCAATTTAGCAGTTTTCATCTGAAAACAACTATTTTGCTTAAGTGTATTTGTTGGTGTAGCTCGATTTGAGGTACAACTTTTAGCCAAGTAACCATAATTACCCATTTCATTGCACTTGCAACAGTAGGAAATCTTAGTCTGGTCAGTTCAAATTTTAACGTGAAAAATTTAAAAATCTCTCATATAGTGATAGAGTGAAAAGTAAGGAAAAGTTCAAAAAGGTATGTGACTTAAGTTTCTAAAATTGATCGTTTTAAGAAATGAGCCTCATTGTAAGCTGTGTTCGTTAGTTTACCAAGTGAGCATGTAAAGACCTTTCCCAGCAACTGGTTTTTGGTGTCACTGTTGAGATTTGAGAGGCACATTGCTCAAATGGCAAGTGCATTGGCTCTGGATCCAGCTGTCCAAGTTCAATTGCTTGCCTGGGTCATTGTGTTGTGTTCTTGGGCAAGACGCTTTACTCTTGCAGTGCCTTTTTCCAACCTGGGATGTGAGGTAGTCACATTGGGGGAGGGGGCTAGGAATTCTGTGGGGGGCAAAAGGGAATCCTCTCCAGGGGGTATAGAAATTCCTTGGGGGCACTTGGTGGAACAAAAAACAAACTAAGCTCTAACAGTATGTGCAAAGTGTGTACCTTTTTGCAAAGATTTGAGACTTGAAAGCTCAGAGCTGGTTATTGTACAACTCGATTCATGTGATGTTCTTGTGAGGCTTTTTCTTAATTTGATCAAATTTGAGGACTTTTGCCCTGTCCCCTTTGAATATCAGTCAGTGTTGTCTCTGCTTAGAAGAGTATTGATTGAAACTATGAAATAAATCTGAGGATTGTCTAAGAAGGATAATTAAGCAAAAAAGGATGTACTTTAACCACGCTGAGTCTTTTTCCAGTCATACTTCCATATGCGTCCCATTTGCCTTGTACATAGATCAAGGGAAATCATTCAGTTTGTACAGTTTCTTTTTTTATCCACATTTGGTTCAGTCCTTTGTACTTAACCTAAGACTTCATGCTTTTTTGCCATAGACTTCATGTTTTTTTGCCATTTTTTAAAGTTTTCTCCTTATGGAAGGAAACAATTTTTTGTTTTTAATCCAAAAGCGATTGTGTTCCATTTTTTTTTTCCGAATCAAAATTTACACTTTCAGCCCTGGCCTGCATTCTCAACCAAAATAATTTAATTTGTACATCAAGGCAATGTCAGTTAAGGTTGGTTGAAGGCATCCTTTTTGCAACCTCAATCCCAGGCAAAGGAGACAGCCTTGGAACGAGGTTGCCTTTTTTCCTTGATTGTCCCTACAAACTGTGACGTAACAAGAATTTATTCAAACATTAGGGGGGTATTCCCGTGTACATACTTTCAATAGATTGTCAATATGGTTTAGTCTATTTGGTTTTTTTATCTGAACGCATTATCTTATTTAGATGAAAAAACTATCTGCAGCTAAAAGTAGTAATCGATGTGCGTAAAATTAAAAGTAGACTGACTTATATTGGTAGGTGAAAAAAGCAATGGACCAAGAAACCAAGCTCAAAAAAAAAATGAAATTCTAAAATTATGGAATTATTTGAAGTTGGCCAATCATAGGAGGTCTTTCACATTCAAAGTCAAAAAATTAATTTATTAATTAATGATTTGAAGCATCGCAAAGAAATATGGTTAGTCACAATTGAACAAGATTGCAACACTGTTTGAATCGTAGAATCAGAATCACGGAATCAATTTTTTTTTTTTTTGCGCAAAAAAATGTCTGGGTGTCGATACAAGGACACAAACTCTCCATACACGTTTGTGTGGTGCTTGTAAAGAGAATTTATTTGGTGGTCATTTCTTGCTTCGAGTGTGACCGGTCTTTTTTCAAAGAGAATACAGAACATGTCTCTAATAAGTGAAAAGTGTCAGACAAAAAAGTATTGCAGAAGCAAGGGAAACAGTGTTAAGGCTGCAAAATAGCTCCAAGAGCTTGGTTTTTGACTGAAATTGTTATCACCTGTCAGTATATTTTCAAAATGGCTGTAAAATGCGATTTTAGTTTAGTGTGTTAGAAGTGGCCAGAGATCAAACCAAGGCTAAAAATGTAGAAATTGTAATGGATTATAGTAGTTTTAGAGTGCAGTACACGTAGGGTAGTTTGATCAAGTGACGGGGTTTGTCATTTGTCGCAAATAAACTGTAGCATCATCCTAAATGTGGCTTGTTTTTGTCCCAAGGGGGACTCCAAGAAAACTTTGGTGAGGACGGGGCCATGTTCCCATTTAATACCAAAATCTGCGATTTTCTCTAACCTATTTGAGACCTGACCCTTAAATCAATACCCTGTTTCAGAGCTGCCTTACAGTTAGTTGCCTTGTCAAAGGCATTGTAAAGGGCCTTTGTTGATGGCCTCGTGGATAACGATAAAACATACTCAGTGCAAATACCATACCCATTGGAGACTCGATACCCTATTTCTGACCAAACCGGCTGAAAAACCCCACCCTTCAGGGCCGTACATACCTATATAGCTCATAAGAGGGAGTGCCCCGAAGAGGATGGGGGTGTCAACGCATGTGTCTTTGTTTTCCAAGAAGTGGACGCTTTCCACTATGCCATTTGTTTTTTCACACTTCCCAAACTTCTTGTCAAACACGCGGTCATTTGCGCGGGAAACGAAAGCGCTGGAAGGTGTTCGAATGCTGTCAAATGGTACAAACTCGTCCCGTCTCCGCTGAAAATTTGTCCTGTTCCGTTTGGCGGGAAATTGTCACCTGTCTTAGCAAATGGAAACCCTCGGAGGTCTCCATTGTTGCTTAGTTTCCAGTACGAGAGATCATTACACGTCACTTGACTTCATTAGTTCCAGTGCTCCTTGATTGCCAAAGGTTAAGCTGTCGATGGTAATTCATTAAACCTTACTTAAGGGGGCTCGATCGGATTATAGAGTTATGATATTTTTCAACTGTGAGGGACTAGAGCACTACCCTAAAGAATCTAACAAAATCGAACGTTACTAATGTACTGGAGAAATATGAAAGTTTCAAATGGGGTACATGTTCGTTTTACCAAGATCGATGTTACTATAGCAACACGACGCATACCCCATTTTACGAGTAATAAAACATCAGGACTTGGAATTCGACAGGTAGGATAGTCGCTCTGTGCATCAAGTTACACGATATCGATTTTTAACGCGACAGTCTTGCGTTCAAAATCGGCTTGTGTAACATCACCTTTAGTTAGGTTGGGTTCCTCTAAAAATTCAAAGCGACGCGCTAATGTGTTTGCCTAAGCTCTTTTTTTAATGTGTTTCCGTTATTGGTGATATTTTTTTT